TCCTCTTCTTTTGAAGTCCCATCAAGGTTTTGTTCTGTCTCCATTGGTTTTAACATGTTGTATCTTATTGGATTTTATTATATGTGATAATATAAACAAAAACTTTTATAGACAAGAAGATTATACAGAAACCATTGTTCATTTTCTGTTAGTTGATTCTAAATACCCTGTAATACTGTCATTCTCTTGAATGGTTTTACATTGTCTTGATATGTTTGATGCTACAGTATACGAAGTTATACCCAAAGATTTTAAGAGAAGAATCACTATGGTAACTACTATTATGTTGAGATTATCTTGTGGTGAAACACTACTTTGCTTAAATGGCTATGTTTTGACCTGCGCTGTTTTGTTGTTATACCCTCTTTTTTATCTCAATCTTCTTTTTATTATCTACTTTTTCATTTGTATCCTTTTAATTAAGGGAAAAATTAATAAAAGATAGCAGGATATATTATAGTAACCCACTTTGATTTCCTATTAACTTGATTTGACACTCTGTATTGCTCTCACCATCTTGTTTTGACTGATTTTCCTCTATTCTGTTATGCTTGATAGTACCAAGTTTGAAAGTATAGGCAACAACTATGAAGACAATAAGATTCATTGTGACGCCCATTCTGGTTGACTATTATCTTTTTTTGAAGTCCTCTAATGTCTCCAATGTTTTGGTTTTATTGGTCTTATTCTTTACTGTTTTGTACAATTTTATTATAACTGATGATATAGGCAATTCTTTTTAAGATAACAAGAGGCATTATGGTATCCATTGTTGATCACCTTGTATTTTGTTTTTACATTATGTATTATGTCCATCCTTTTGATTTGACTGACTCTGTCCTGGTATGTCACATTTGGTTTTACTTTCTTTAAAAAAAAAAAAGTAGTAAGAACTGAGAGAGTAATAAAACCCAAAATGTGTAATTGTCATTGTACAAAAGAAAGGAAAAGAAAGTTCTCTAAAAGATATAACTGCATATATATTAAAGTGTATAAGATAGATAACCATATTATTGAGTTTTGTTGGATCATTGAACAAAACTGTTTGTGGTCTCACTGTTTGAAAGTCCCCTCTATATGCTTTAATTTTGTAACTTCAACAACTATTTCCAAGATGACAATATGTAATTAACTAGTGATTTCCTACTGTTTACTTTTTCTGAAATTCTGTATAACTTGTACCCTTTTTCTGTTTTTTTCTTTTTTCTCCTTAAATAAAAATTTTTTTAAAAGCCTGAAGCGTCTGTGTCTAGGCGTTTCACCTGTTTCCAAAGCCATTCATCAAGGCGGCATGGACCATTTTGGCGCCAACTTCTTCCCAATTGGCCCCATATGTACACACCCCTTCAGAATCCTCTATATACAATAAATAATTTAGCAGTCTTCAGAGGACTGAGGTGTACAAATGGCCCTTTCTTCTGTACAGAAGACTGCCAAAGCCTAAACCCACGAAACTTTCTGTTTTAGTAATTTCCATATGATAAAAAGAGGCAGATACCGTTTTTAAAGTGCTCCCATTATTTTAATTTTCTCTTAAGGACATATGCTTCGAGCATCTGGGCACAAGTTCACCTCTAAGTTTTCTTCTGGGTTGAATATCATAGCAAAATGCCTTGCTTTCCATTTCCCTCCATCATCCAAATAGTACCTGAAATTCTTATTTCAGGAAGCTTTTCCAGATTTCACAGGAGAGGTCTAAGATCCTACTAGCCTAATTCTTATTGACAGAACTCAAAATGTTCATTTATATTTCCATCACTCTCTATTCCTAAAAAATGTACCATCATGTCTATGTAACATAAAATATGGTTATAGCTAAAGTTCTGTTCTTCATCATAGAGTAAAGCAACACATGTCAGTAAGTTTACTTTTTATTCTTTTTGTGGGACAAGTCTAAATGTTAATTGGGAGAAAGATCAAATGGTAATTTAATCTTGATCACATAAATAAATGAACATGAGGAAGTCTTTCAATTGATCAAAATTATACTATTCAGGGTTGACCTAACTAAGCACCTCTTTGGGAACAAGGGTGCTATGTATGAGTTATACCCACCTCATCCTACATAGTTACATAATTACACTTACGGAAAGTCACCTTTCTCCTTTTTCAACTGTGGGAATGAAAGATTAAATAAAAGCACAGACTAAACATTTTTGCCTACAAATATTCAGTGTTTTAGTGTTTCTTTCTCCTTCCTTTAATTCCTTTTTTCATCTATATCTGTTAAACCGCAGACTTATAGAGAAAGAGACAGGGACCAAGGAGTACAGTAGTTGCCTAGCTTGTTGCGAGCCCTGAGTGGGTTTGATTCTCAGCATCACAAAAAAATGTAAAGAAAGAAATATGAGAGCAGGGACAAAATCATCCTAGGCAGTATTTAACACAGCATTGATGCAAAGAAGATCATAGCATTTTTAAAGTTAAACTTTACAAATAGATATGGAGAAAGTAATCTGGAAAAGTAATTTTTTCAAGAGTTTAGAAACTACTGATTCCATATGCTTATGTCTAGCATCTAATATACTATTTTTATTAAAAATAATTTCTATCTAAAAATTTTTTTCTATAGATAAGTCTCATCATATTGCACAGGCTGGTTCTGAACTCTTGGGCTTAAGCAATCTATTGCCCCAGCCTCTAAAGTAGCTAGGACTACAGACAAACACCACTGTACTCAGATAATACAGTAAGTTTTGAAATATGACATAGCCAGGCATGATGGTACAAACCTGTAATATTAGCCCTTGAGAGGCTGAGGCACAAGGATTATCACAATTTGGAGCCAAGCCGGGGCTACAAAGTGAGTTCAAGGGACTACATAGTGAGACCCTGTCTCAAAAAGTTAAATGAAGTAAAAAGTAAGATGTTAAACTCTGTTCTACATAATAGTTTATTTCAAAGATAATCCTGACAAGCATTTAATGAGAACTAACTACACATATAGCACAGAATTAGGCACAGGACACACTGTCCTCATAGAACTTATCTCCAGTTGAAAACTCAGAGCATACAGAAAAGACAGGAAAAATACAAGGCAGCAGAAACAGAAAAAGTCACTGTAGTTAAGGCCACTGAGTAAGGCTCCCTAGAAAGAATAAGGCTTGAATTTGGCTTGAACTGGTAAAGAAAGAACAGGTCTTTGCTAAGTAAATAAGAAAATTTATTGAAATGACCAGACATGGAAAAGTACATGGACTAGGGAGGGGAACACAAGGTGGACAAATGGAGATAACGCGGCTGGTGAGTCAGGGAGGGACCGAATCACGGGAGGATGGGGCAAGATGGACAAGGTGATGTTTCAGGAAACTGAGGGAGCAGAAATGAAACAGCAGAAGTGAAACTGGTAGAAATAAGAAGGGCACGCCCAGCAAACCAGAAGGGAAATGTGAACCAGGCTGGTGACTGACCAGGACGCTAAGAGAGATCAGCCCTGCTGTCTGCTCTCCATACGGTATCTACTTCCCATGAAAAACAGCCCATCCCCTATCCCCACCCGGCAGCATTCAGGTTTCTAACAAGGAGTGTGGCAGGGGAGCATGGAGCACAACACTTTTAATAGTATCTCTGGGCTTTTTTTTTTAACTTAAAAATTAACTTTTTTTAACTTAAAAATAAGAAATGCAAAAAATTTAATGGCATTTATTTCCATGATTGAAAAAATAATTAAGTGCACAAATGACTTTCTACACAATGATATTAAAAACAAAAATGAATGCTGTTTATGACTCCACCATACATGGATACTAGGTTCTGCCAATATTCATTCTTTCAACACGTATTGTACTACAGAATAAGTAATAAAATGCTATGAATTTAACATCATTTTCTTTTCATGACAACTACAAAGCAGTGACAGCCCGATAGGTGGTAAACATTGGCAAATAGGGAAACAAAACAGCTGGGCCTGGTGGCATACAGCTGTAATCCCAGGACTTGGGAGAAGAGGCAGGAGGATTTCTGTGAGTTCTAGGCCAGCTGGGGTTACATAGTGTTCAAGGCCAGCCTGAACTGTAGAGTGAAACTGTGTATCAAAAAACCAAAAAGAAAAGAAACAAAAGGCATTTCATTTTCAGTCTTAGATCTGACATTAACTTGAGATCATACAGCAAATAAATTGTCTCCCCCAAGTTCTGCCAGTAAGTGCCAAACGATGATATACTTGTGGTATGCCTTTGATTTGCACATCTAGGTTTTCTTCTCCTTTTTTTTAAAATAAACTTCGCTAATATTCTGAAGTTGAAAAAGATTTGTTGTATTAACTCATAACTTCAGATGAGGTCAATAGACCTAAATGATAAGGTAATTATTAAAAACCAGTTATTTGGCCTGAAATCTCATATCTCCACTACATTAGGTTTCTCTTTTGTCATTTCACAAAGTTATGTGAAAAAAATACAGACAGGGAAATGCTTAGAAAGGTTACAGTATTACACCAATGAAAAATATATTACTTTGTTGAGTGTTACCAAGAGCGTTTGCAGGTTTTACAGGACAAAGCCTATTTTGAAGTAACTCTTTTAAGTAAACAAACACAAAAATTATAGGTAAAGAGTTTAGAGGAGAAATTATAAGTAAAGAGAAAGTTCTTGAAATTTAGCTTTATTTACCCTCAAGATAAATATACTTCTGGGTTTAATAAACGTCAAAAATTGCCTCTAAAATCTAATGTCTGCTACTAAATATAAAAAGGACACTGGATACAAGAAAAATACACAAGCTTGGCCTTTGTTTCTTCACATTCATTCACTATAAACCATATTCAGAAAAAACTACAGAGAGAAATAATCTTTGCCTTATCTTTATTAGGATTTAAAAAACAAATTTTACCAATGAACAGCCAAAAATAACATGAGAGTAATAAGAAAATTACTTTGGTAAAATAATAAAGCTAGAACATCACATGATACAATAATTATTTCATACACAGGTATGGACACGCACACACTCGTATTTACTCACAATTAGGCAAGCAAAAGAGCTCATTAAAAAAAATTTACCTCGTCTTCGCCCATAGCTCCTGGCTGCATGTAAACAGAAGAAAACCATGGGTATTTGGATCAAAATAGTTAATTTAGAAATAAAAAGTATTCACACCTACCTTTTCTAAGTATTCTTGGAATTATTAATCTGGAGATACTGTTCAATTTGATGGCAAACATTTTTTAAAAAATAAGACTTTATAAAAGTATAAACTAGATAACCACCTTAAAGAGAAATTCAACTGGATGCAGTAGCCACTGGAAAAGATAAAATAGGTACTTAACTTTTAAAGTCTTACAAGTATTTTTATTGGGACCTATTAGCTACATCAGGTTACTCTCTGTTTTAAAAAAATTCTGACACAAATTTTCACTTGTACTTATATTACTACCAGACATTAATCACTCAAAAAAATGCATTCCAAACAACTAAAAATTGCAGCATATGGTGGCCAACTCTGAATTTCTTAAGCTTTACACATAGATATCACTTAATAAATTCTTGAAACTGTATAAAATTGTATACAATTAGCTATTGCTTTACAGAATGTTTTTGTAAAATTTTCATGAGAATTTCTCATTTTCTCCACTTACTTTCCATGCCACATCACAGATAGAAGAAAATGCTATTTTTATATCAATTCAATGAATTGAAAAAGTAGAATAAAGGTATTGGCACCCAGGCCATTTTTAATAATAGAGCACTTTTGAAGGTTGACTTCAAAACTCTAGACCAGTGACAGCAAATCTTTTAGAGCCTTCGGTGATACAAAGAGCCCACTGCAGCACAAGGGCCGTACCTTCTGCAAACACAGCTCCAGGCCTACGAATCCTGCACACTGTTCTAGCACTCAACATCATGCATCACTACAAAACCCTGTCACCTAAAGTGATTTTCAGAGTTAAAAGTTTCTCAAAGTTGAAACTTCAGATTCTATAAAACTAAATGAGAGTTCCATTGAAGCTATTTTTAAGTGTTAAATGTCATAAAAATTAGCCTACACTGAAGATTAATTTGGGGTTACATTTTAGTATGAGACAGTAAGCAATAAAGAAAACAAGTTCTTCCCAAAGAAAGAACTCAGACTTTTCAGCCAAGTAGCCAAAAATACAAGATGTGATTTAAAAATATGGTGAATGCTATTGCCAAGGGCCATTCATAGAATAGCCAGCTCATAAAATATTCACCTTTGTCACCAAATCTGGCACCATATGACTTCTGACTCTTCTCCCAGGTCAAAATGACTACGAAAGTTAAACATTTTGAATTGTTTCAGAACATCAAGGCAGCCTCGATAGTGCAACTAAAGACTCAAGAAACAAGACTTCTGTTTTTCATTGTTGTTTGTTTCTTGCTATGTATTTCAGACCTCCTGAACTCACTTTGTAGCCCAGGCTAGTCTCAAACACACAGTGATCCTCTGTCTCAGCCTCCTAAATCCTGGGACTGCAGGCATACCTCACCACACCCAGTCAATTCTGTTCAAACATTATAGGACCTTCAACTCCACACCTTTAACCTCTTCACTTTCTCATCACTCAAATATTAAAAAGGATTATACTCTTTTCAGGAAAAAAATACAAATACATGAAAAGAGGGTCAGCATCTTTGGACATTAGAGAAATGCAAATCAAAACAACACTGATATTCCACCTTGCTGCAGTAAGAATCGCCATATTATCAAGGACTTACAAATCATCAAATGCTGTTAAGGGACCCTTTTGCGTTGCTTGTGGGAATGTAAACCTGAACAATCACGCTGGAAATCTGTATAGAGATTATTTAATAAACTAAAAATAGCATTTAAGACAAAGCATTGTACTTTTGTTTTTGTCTATAACTTGTACTCTGAGTAACATTTTGGCCATTAAGATTTTGTTTTTGTTTTGCTTGTTTTGTTTTTTGGTGCCAGGGATTGAACTCCACAACCTTGTGCTTGCCAGGCAGGCGCTTACGCTGCTGAGCTAAATCCCCAGCCCAGCCATTAAGATTATATTGTTATTCTCTAATTATTTTCTCATAAATTTTGTTTTATTTTTTCATAGAAATAAGACTGCATTTTTATATTTTCTTTAAAAATATAAATTCTACTTGATCCAGCTCTACCTCTCCTGCGTTTCTTCCCAAAGAGCTAAACTCATAGCAATACACCCACACTCATGTTTACAGCAGCACAACTCACAATTAGGGAAATCAGGGAAGTTGTCTATTTGGCCATCAACAAAAGAATAGATAAAGAAAACCAGGCATATATACACAATGGAGAACTTGCTAGTCCACAGAGATGGACAAATTTGAATCATTTGTAGGAAAATGGATGGACTTTGAGACCATAATTCTAAGTGCATAAGTCCTCTGCAAAAGGTGAAGTGTCACATGGTTTCTCTAATATGAGAGACCCAAAATATAAATAATTTGAAGAGCAAATTAAAAAGCCATGTTAGAGAGAGGTATATTCTGTAAAAATGGGAAGGGGATGGTGAGGAAGAGGGGTAAAAAGGAGAGGATGGGAGTGGCGGGGAAGTGAAAATAATCAAGATGCAATATGTATCTATATCAAACCCAAGGTGGATATAACCACTATATATCAGAAATGTATACTAATAAGACTTTTTAAAAAGAATTATACAGTTCAAACCCTACCTTTCGTTGACTTTGCCTATATAAAAATTCTGAATAAAAAGTTTCTTCTGCGTTTACATATCAATTACCACTTACATCATGTACAGAGCATGCACTCCCCCCAAAAAAATTTTTTTAGAGACTCATACTCTTTATTATTTGGAACTAGATAGAAGTCATCTTGCAAAATCAAGTATAAGTGGTAGTTAGCTTCCTAACTTGACCCCAAAAAGCTTGCTTCATTCATGATATGAATGAATACTAACAGGCAGCACTTAGATGAAATGAGTCTTGACATCCTATCATTTGTTTCTTTGTGCCTTCCTTCCATTCCCAGTGATGCTTGACACCCCACTAAAAAATCTCTATTGAGAGGAAGTAAAATTCTCTGCTCTGTATTTCAAAAGTTACTCATATCTTTCCCAAAGAATAAATTTCTATTTTTCTCATTATCTTTGATTTCTAGCCAGATAATGAAAAAGAATCTGATTGCAACACTAAAGTACAAATGACTCACTGAATCTTCGCATCTCTTAAGTATAAATAAGAACGCTGTTCAATTTAAGTTTTAAACTGCCAAATACAGTGGTCCAGACAGGTTCGAGGATGGTAAAAGTGACCAGAAATGGGGAGAAGGGAAGAGCTGTAAAAGACTCATCTGAGAGTTTTATCAAAGCTTCCTTAAGAGAGTCATCATTTTTATCAATTCCTCTTGAACAGTTTCTGAACCAACACTGTAAAATGGTTCAAGATATAGCCTGGAACTCTGATATCAAGGAAACAGGATGGCATATGGAATAGGCAGCCAATTTAAATAGTGCTCTGAATTGCTTTTTTCATCACTTGTTCTAGAATTTAATTATATGCTACTTTGGTCCTGATTTCAATATCTTATTTATGATCCCTATGATGACTTATAATAGCAGCTAAAACTTACTGAGTGGTAACTAAGTGCCAGAATAATCCAAAATGCTTTAGATAAATGATTATCATTTTACAAACTTATGACATAAGTATCATTATTAACCTTTTATTTCAAATGAGGAAAACTGGACACAGAAAGTTTAAATATCTTGTCTAAGAGGGACAAGACAGAATATGGAATTTGAAACACAAATCTAAGCAGTCTGACTTCAGAGTTTATACTTTTAACCACCTTGTTATCTGTTAAACTCCTAAGAAGCAAGGTTCCTGTCTCATCCTATTTGCTTATTTTGTTTTTTGTGAGGCAGGGTTTCCTCATGTAGTCCAGGCTGGCCTCCTGTCTCCACTTCCTAAGTGCTGGGACTATAGGTGTTGCCATCATGCTCAGCATTTTATCCGTATTAATATCCTCTATTGCACCTGAGAGAATGGTCTATGCCAAGTTGGTACTCAAAAAATACAACTTTCTAGCTGAGTGAATAATCAAGGGAGGGAAGTATTATCTTTTAGATCTACAATGTCCCCCAAAAGCTCATGTGTATGAAGGTTGACTGGATCATAGGGACACTATTCTGTACTCCAGTAAATTAAGCCATTGATGAGTTCGGTACTTAAATGTGTTGTTAGGAGCTAGGGCCTAGTTGGAAGTGGGTCATGGTGGTCTTGGGGTTGCAACCTAGAAGAGTTTATTTTTATTCTTGGCTTCTCTCTTTTCCTGGATGCCTGGGTTGAACGTTTTCTCCTTATCAGAGTCTTCCTTTTCCTGTCCTTGGAGCCAGCTAACCATGGACTGAAACCATAAGCCAAAATACATCTCTCCTCTTTTAAATTGTAGGTACCAGGTATTTTGTACCAGGGCCAAGACAGTGACTAAGCAGAAATGTATGCCTTGATGGTCTTTTGAATGTAAAATGGTGGAAGTTTTAAAATTTAATCAAGGGCTGGTGATATAACTCAGTGGCACTGCACCTGCCTGGCAAGTGCAAAATCATGAGTTCTATTCCTAGTATCTCCCCAGCAAAAAATTGATCATATGGTCATATGAAGACCATTTACAAATAATTTCATTAAAGTCAAACTCTTCCCTCAGAGAGAGATAATAAAGTGAACAGAAGTGAGAGAAATTTAGGTATGCAAAAGTAGGACTTTCCCATGGTGTAAATATAGCTTTAAAATAAGAAAATGCTGCTGTCACTGGGTGTGGTACCAGTTGTAATCCCAGCACTTGGGAGGATAAGGCAGGAGGATTGCTGTCAGTTTAAGGCCAGGTTGGACTACATAGTGAGTCTAGGCCAGCCTGAACTATATATAGTGAGACCTTGTCTCAAATAACAAACAAAACTACTGAACATACAAATGTACACACCACAATACAAAACTATCTCATATAGAAAATAAAGGAGTACTGCAATTAATTCTTTATTATATATTATCAGTGCTAGGATGGAGTTATATCAGATATACCAAGATGCATCCTGGCATGGTAGCACAGGCC